GATCACTCTTTGTACTTAAAAAGTACAAAGAGTGAAGATTATTCTATTGTAATATTTCATTAAGTACAAAGAGTGAAGATTATTCTATTGTAATATTTCAAATGAAATATTACAATAGAATAATCTAATAATCTTCACTCTTTGTACTTAATGAAATATTACAATAGAATAATCTAATAATCTTCACTCTTTGTACTTAATGAAATATTACAATAGAATAATGTAATAATCTTCATTCTTTGTACTTAGTGAAATATTACAATAGAATAATCTAATAATCTTCACTCTTTGTACTAAATGAAATATTACAATAGAATAATCTAATAATCTTCATTCTTTGTACTTAGTGAAATATTACAATAGAATAATCTAATAATCTTCATTCTTTGTACTAAATAATCTTGATGCAGGTTTCTTGCAGAAAAAATATATTAATATCATTTTTGCTACAAAACTAAAATTATAAATCAGTCTTTATAAAACCATTACTTTTTTGATTTTGGTGAAGTAGTTATTAATAAGCAACAGATTTGGAAGAATTTAATTCATATGTTTGAAATGTTACAGTTTGTTAATATTTCCTAAGGTTTGAATAAGTGAATGGGTGATTTTGTTTGTGTTATGACTTATTTTCTTTAGGTAACTTACTTAATACAGGGTTTAGTCAGGAAAGGTATGTACAAAGTCAGAGATATTTATCTGGTTACTATTATCTCCACTTTATTCTGACAGTGAGCGAGAAAGAGTATATACCTTCAATTATCATATATAAGTGGTTCTAAAGGAGTAAGCTATTTGTGTGATGTAGCAATTGCAATGGTTGTATGTAATGGTTCAAATGAAATGAAAATTAATATTGAATTTTCTGTAATTCCTATGTACAGCACATTACAAAATTATGTATCGTACATTACAAAATTATGTATCGTACATTACAAAACTAAGTATCGTACATTACAAAACTATGTACAGCACATTACAAAACTATGTACCGCACATGACAAAACTATGTGTCGCACACGACAAAACTATGTGTTGCACATGACAAAACTATGTACAGCACATTACAAAACTATGTACAGCACATTACAAATTATGTATCGTACATTACAAAACTATGTACTGCACATTACAAAACTATGTACTGCACATTACAAGTTTTTACACTTATTTATTAATCAGAAAAATATAATGAGGAAACTGTGTCACACATGACAAAACTATGTGTTGCACATTACAAAACTATGTACAGAACATTACAAAACTATGTATCGCACATTACAAAACTATGTACAGCACATTACAAAACTATGTACAGAACATTACAAAACTATGTGTTGCACATTACAAAACTATGTACTGCACATTACAAAACTATGTACTGCACATTACAAAAGTGTGCGACACATAGTTTTGTCATGTGCGGTACATAGTTTTGTCATGTGCGGTACATAGTTTTGTAATGTGCTGTACATAGTTTTGTAATGTACGATACTTAGTTTTGTAATGTACGATACATAATTTTGTAATGTGCAGTACATAGTTTTGTAATGTACGATACATAATTTTGTAATGTGCTGTACATAGTTTTGTCATGTGCAACACATAATTTTGTAATGTACGATACTTAGTTTTGTAATGTACGATACTTAGTTTTGTAATGTACGATACATAATTTTGTAATGTACGATAC